ATGACCTATGGCATCATGTAACAATAATAATGGCCATGAATATCGCCCAACATGCAATAAGGGATGAAAGTGTCGAGGACAGCTAATTATCTTCAGAATTGTGTTATGTTATATATGTGTATGCAGCCCCTATCTAGAGATGTGTAGAGTTTTTGAATCCCTATATGTATTGCCTGTCTGTTCTGAAACCGACTTTGAGCATGTGATTTTGGCGTTGTCTACCATCCCTTCTTTCCTGGAGCCCACTTCAGATATGCTCTGGCACATGTCTTGTACTGTACAAGTTGTACTCTGTTTTGGCTTGGATTCAATGACAGCAAGGTTCATCCCATGGATTTGAAGTGTCATCATAATGTGCTGAGTGGGAATTGAGCCTGCGACATCACAACCACCAATCCTCTATCACAATGATAAACTTTTACAACTCCCCCCCTTGGACTTCAATGTTGTCCAGAATGTAACATATACATAAAAGTGAGCACAAGGATGGGGACCACCTCTGGGAGCCAAGGGGGCCCATGGATGGTCAGAAGCCATTACGGTGGTGCTCAGCATGGATCTTGAGATCCTCTAGAGGATCTCCTGCTCCCCTGGGCTCAATGCGCCTGCGTGTGATGTACCCAGTCTGTGATGTCCAAGACCTCCTCGAGAAAACAATTGCAAGCCGCTGCAATAGGTCGGCGACATACGCATACACATGGTATGTGCATGTCCAAATGTTTGTGCATGTACATGCACCTAGACACATGTGTTTATGTGTTTATGTGTGTGTGTGCGTGTGTGTGTGTCTGCTGGATACATGTATTCTAATCCAACGAGTGTATGGTGCTCCCTACAAATCTCTTAATCATGGAGCTATGGATTTGGTGCTAGCACCTTTGAATGCAAGCTAAGGTCGGTTATGATGGATGGAGAGCTGTACTTGCACTACTGCACTCACAGAGTGCACTAATAAGAAAACCTGGCATATGTAATCCTGTTTGTGGCCAGCCGTGTACACGCATGACGATGGATGACATATGTACACATATACATGCATACACACATGCTGTATTGCACTTTATTTGCAGTCCCTCACTTGTTTGCTTGTCTCCCTGCTGTGTGCGTGTGCCTTTGCATCTATTTGCACAGGACAGAGCACTTTAAAGTTCACTACACCATAGCATTCATTCCTTCCTGCCTGGGTGTTATTGGCATGCAACAATGCACCTAATACCCAGGACATACACTTGGACCTGCAACCAGCACACACGCGCTTCGGGCATGTGGGACAACAAATTCGAAGTAGGTATGGAGGATCGTGCACATGCATGGGGGCGTGCATGCACTAATAAAGGCAGTGAGATGCCTGTGGTTCACCGTAGAATGCTTCAAAACATGCAAGTCACTGCTGCACCAGCCGAGAATCGAACTCGGGTCTAGACCGTGGCAAGGACCTATGCTACCACTATTCCACTGGTGCTCTGTAAGACACGGGAACTACTCGAGTGAACACCACTGCACACAACTATATCAAGAGTTACACACATGCAGACATACAATGTGCACAGAATCACGTGTTCTATATACCTAGGTGTATGGGTATGCCTCTCTGGTGCCCGTAATAGGTTTGTCTGAGGGAGCACCAGTGGTGTCGTGGTTGCATATATGGGTCCTTTGCCGCAGACTAGACTCGAGTTTATCCTCGACTGGTGCACAAAAACATGCATGTTTTGTAGCATTGTACGGTGGGCCGCTGGCTTCTCAGCATTGCCTTGATTATTGGATGTGCTCTATCCACCTAGTTTGTTGTTCCATATGCCTGAAGCACATGTGTGTTGGTAGCAGGTCCAGGTGCATGTCCGAGGTAATGTGTGCTTTGCCACATGCCAATAACACCCAGGCAGGAAGGGATGAATGCTCTGGCATATTGAACTGTAAAGTGCTCTGTCCTGCGCCATAATAGACGCAAAGACATAAGTACACAGCAGGGAGATGGGTGAATGAGTGAAGATTGCCAACCTGTATTAGGGCATGGTTAGCACCCATAAATATTGAGAATAAGATCCTTGCCCCAACAACCGCCCAGCCATGCCTAAATACCTGTGTGCCCAGCAAAACATGCCCATGGCCCCATGCATGCCTAGGTGATGTACACGTGATTGTGGGATGGGCTGTGCCCACTCACTCCTCACATGCCTAGCAGCCAGAATGAGGTGTTGGGTGTTTTTCATGTGCTATGGCAGTGGTCGTGTGGCTTAATGGATAATTATAAGGCATCGTCCTCCAGTTTTATGTCCAGGATGGAGATTGTGGGTTTCAGTCCCTAACTTCCCCCATGTTTTGGTGAACCCTCATCCATTGCATTCACGCCAGCTTCTGCAAAGTCAGTGGCTTTGCGGGATTGGGCGGCCACCATCAGAATCCAATAGAATCTGCCAGATCAACCACAAGCATCAAGTCTACTCCTTACCGGCTCCACAGATCACTCACTATAACCAGATGCAGCTGCTGTGGGTGGGAGGCCCGAAGCTGGTGGTCTACTGGCCATGGGGAGCATGCCTGTGAGGAGGGAGTCACAGCAGTGTGAAGGAGTGTGAAGTCCGTGTGAAGTCGGTGTCCCCACAAAACCCTAAAACCCTAATTGCATGTAGTACATAAGAGTGCCACAGCCGGTTTGCACAGTCTCAGGACCCTCGCCCGCTTACCAGCATATGCAAGCAACACTTGATGGCACTGAATGCGTGCCTAGGCATGAAGGACCACTAAGGCATGGAAATCCTTGTACATTCTTTCTTCCCTAAAATAGTGAATCCCTGTCGACTACCTATACGTGCCAACCTCGTACATATAATGTAGTACATACAAGGTTAACATAACATATACATAGATAGATGTATATATATATAACATACTAACATAAATAACAGTACTCATGGGTATGGGTAGGTGGGCAAACAGAGTGGTGGAAGTTGTGTGCAGCACCAATCCCAATGGCATTGTGATGTGTTAATGTTAACTTACATCTGGACATTTTCTGCCCGGTTAGCTCAGTCGGTAGAGCGCAAGGCTCTTAACCTTGTGGTCGTGGATTCGAGCCCCACATTGGGCGAGAATGTCCCGTATGTGTGTGAAAGGGACATCAGTAGACCAGTGCCCTGCACCTAATGTAACTATTATGCAGGCTTAGACATTCATTCATTCCTGACCCCCTTCTCATAATATGTCCTCGTCATGGTGCTGAATTTCTGACTTGTATTCCTGCTGGATGGGATGGGATATGATGGGATGCCTGATTCCAGAATTGCGAATTAGCCCACAGCTACTTGCATTATAATTATCAGTCCATCCATGCTTTATCAGTATGCGAAAACCCAAACTCTATAACACCCTTTTGCCTGCTCTATCTCTTGTTTTTATGGCACCGGAGAGTTTGCCAGCTTTTTCCTATAGCTAGGCCAACACGATTAGCAAAAGCCTCAGGTGGGGACCCTGGATCCAGCTAGCATGACTGCACCTACCCATCCATCCTAACACCCTATAGCTAAACACCCTAAACACCCTAACACCCTA